TGTGTCCGTTGCGACACACGTCGAGTTCGATTTTTATTAGTACAACAGAAAATATCAAAACTGGTAGTTATGGAGCTCCGAGTCTATGATTCTTCGGTTGGTGATGACCGGGATACCACGGTCAGCACGGTTCGTCTGGCCTTCATACTCCACGGTCCTCGAATCGCTGACGAAGCTGCTGCTGGGGAAGATGACGATCCTTGTTGTCGGCCGCACAGTCCTGTCGATCGTCAGCACACTGCCCTAAACTTCTCCGGTCGATCTACGCTCCAAATCCGGGTTGTGCGCTGGAACGTTCTCGAAAGGGGAGAGGAAGATCACTTGCTCCCAATAAATATTCTATTTTCAAATGCGGTCTTAATTCTGCTTGAAGGTGGAATGCCTCCACGTAGGCGTGAGAAATACTCAACTTTACCGAAAAATCAAAAACGAGATGCGTTTTGCAGCGAACGACGCCCTCACCCAAATATGTAAATGAACATTAGTTCATTCGAATACTTCATTTGAGCGTTCAAATGAACATCAGTTCGTTCGAACGCTGCTACAGCCAGCAAAAATGCATATTGTCGAGAGGCTGTGTGTGTGTTTGGAAAGCGAGCGCATTTTGTCACCCACTTTCAACTCAACAACCAGGAAAACTGGGGGGCTGAAACTTCTGACATATATTCGTACCCCATATGTCATCCTCCCGATTTAAGATCTTCCCCCATACGCGCCTAAACCCGCGCACGAGACTCCCGAAGAAATTTGTTGGCGGGAAACGATTTCGAGAACCAGGCAACGTAGAAGGCTGAAACTTTGCAGGATATTCTCTATGCGCGTACGAGACAAAGGTTTTAAACTCAGCCCTCTAGCTCCACAACCACAGCCTCAAGCAGCTCCTGAACCCAAAAATCGTTAGCAACTCGGACCTGAACTGCAATTGTATATGCGAATGAACGTGGATTTTTTAAAAAACGACCGTTCGAGCAATACTTTCAATTTTTCAATGAACTAAAAATTTGCATAT